CCTGGCATCGCTACTAGGAACAAGGACGCTAGTAGGGGCTCCTGGGATCGCTCCTAGGAACAAGGACCGAACATCGAACAATTTGGGACGGTTTTACCGCATTCGGAAAGAGAGAAGACGAAGTCGCCTGTCCTTCAGATGCCAGGCGCTTGGAGCCTTTGTGTTGGAAACGTGATATTCTCATGTTGGACGTGGCAATGGAAGAGCAGCTTCGGACAGCATGTCGTTTGAAGAAAACATACACAGCATGCACAGGATAATGAATTGAGTTTTTATTTCCGGGTTTCAACTTGATTCAACTTACACACTTTGTGGCTTTGGCCAAAACCACCTCGCAGTGCTCCCAGAGTCTGCAGGAGCTTGGCAGAGCGCAGCAACGTTGCCGAGATTCCACGTGACACGGCTCCAAAGCAATCCAAAATACTTGTATGATCATCCCATACATAGCCAGAGCGGCTTTTTCTAGCTGTTGAGGAAATCAGTGGCCCCACATCAACCCCTAGACCGCAGCTCGAAGCATTATGTTGCACAACGAAATGACGTTAGTTAAGCTTCTCAAACACAACCACCTATCTCCAGCGAACTTTCAGCTACCTTGAGCTAAGACCAAGTAGATCAATTGGAGAAGGTAGCAATGGGGAATGGCAAGAGGCCCAACATGTCAATTTACCAGCAAAGACTCCCTTTGTAAAAGGCTCCAGGCTTTAGCCAAACCAGGGCAATATTTTTGCAGATCCCGGACTCACTAGATTTTTGATATTTGCAAACGAGATGGGGCAGCACGACACTCCCACCATGCATTTCAATATGTCTTCCATAAGATGTTGCGAACCGGTCTATGTTTATGAAAAAAAGCTATTGCTATCTCTGAAGTGTTCAAAAATATTTATTTTTAGGAAAAAAATAGGAATAAAATAGGACCCCAAAATAGGAATAAAATAGGGCTGACAACACAAAATAGGAATAAAATAGGGCTGACAACAAGAACAATGGTGAAATTGGAAACAAATAGGATCGAATATTTCAGATTTACCGGAAGGCAGGTGGCTCATTCCGATCAGACGCATGGTCAGACATGGTCAGACACAAGTGAAGGAAGCGGCCACTGGGGCTAGGTCCACCAGACCTAGGTCCACTGGGGCTAGGTCCACCGGGCCTAGGCCTAGGTCCACTGGGGCTAGGTCCGCGAGACCTAGGTCCACGGAGGGCTATTTTTCCTAATTTTTCCTATTTTTCCTATTTTTTTGGCCGGTGTATTTTTTACTATTTTTCCTAATTTTCCTATTTTTTCCTAATTTTTCCTATTTTTCCTAATTTTTCCTATTTTCCTATTTTTTCCTATTTTTAATTTAAAAAATAGGAAGGAAAAAATTAGGAAAAAATAGGTAAAATAGGAATTGAAAATAGGAAAAATAGGACGATTTTCGCACACACCCCCCAAAATAGGAAAAAGTTGGAAAAATTAGGAAAAATAGGCCAGGTCCACCGGGGCTAGGCCTAGGTCCACTGGGGCTAGCGCTAGACCTAGGTCCACCCGGGCTAGGCCTAGGTACCCTGGGGCTAGGTCCGCCAGACCTGGGTCCACTGGGGCTAGGTCCATTTTATGTTCCTGTCCTAGAGTGCTGCCATTCTTTTCCTTTTTTTCCTTTCCTATTTCTAAATCTAGCTCTTTTCTTTTCCTATTTTTGAGACTCATCCTCTTTGTGTCCTTTTTTTTTCCTATTTTCAGTTCCTATTTTTTCCTATTTTATTCCTATTATTTTCCTAAAATAACTATTTTAAGGTTTTTCAGACATAGCAGGCAGCTTTATGTCATAAGTCTATGTGATTCCAATCCAACACCCAGCTAGCTAGGTGATGGCCTGCTGACTTTCATCTTCCAAATTCTGGAGGATTTGATGATGTCGCGACATGACCCCTCTCTCCAGCAGGCGAACTGCATGGTGACGCACTTGGCAAACTGTATGTAGTGTGAAGAGGTCAGGCAACGTTAAAAAACATGCAAACGTTGGTCCTTCATTCATCCACGTTTTTGACAACAACCACAACATGTATCCACGTGTATGTGCATGTGGTGAGAACATACCGCACAGACAGCTTTTTAACCTATCCATTTGTGGAACTACAGGCCGCCCATCAATTCGTTGGGAGACATTCAGGATCGTGTTTAGTCGTCTATGTGCCTTGACAGGCGCCACGCAAATCACTAGAGTCAATCTTTTCCAGAGTAAATTGCGAAGAGATTGTTTTGCTGCAACCAAAACACCGGACGAGGTTGAGAAAGAGAAACTGTTGGAAATAGTTTGACCTTTTTACCAGTTCAAAAACCCTTGCGGCATGTTGCTTTCTCTTCACGCCTGAACCATCTGAACCTAAAGCAAGCCCTTCAAGCTTGCTCTGGCTATCAGGGCTATGCTCTCCTGCAGAAGCTCATGCAGCAAAGTCACACGGCAGATTGTGTTGCAATGCCGTTTGTTTATATAATTCGGCAAAGTTAAAACACTCAGACTCTGAGGCAACAAATGGACACCTGAGTGGTGCAAGATGCTCCATGCAGCCTTCGATCGTATAGCTCTCACGTGCACAGCAACAGCCCGCCGCCCAGTTTGGCGGGAAGCGCAGTTCAAATACGTTGGTTTGATTTCTCTCATCATTCTCTCTTCATTCTTTCGTGTTGATTGCAAGCAGTTCCCGGGCAAGCCGGCGGCGGAAGTTTCCTATAAAAACAATTTGACCTATAGGAATGTCCCTTCGCACATGCCCTGCGGACCCCCTTTTTTCCCGGCCCGCAACGATGGCGTCATGCAAGCAGCCCACAACGGCGTAGTCGCTCTGGCACTGTGCGCGCAGTGGCTACTTCTTTTGCTTTTCATCGGTGGTTCACAGCAACGCACCGAAGTCCAAGAGCACAGCCGATGCGTCACCGACTCACCACATCCCTTTTTCTTCACAGTGCAAAAGTCCTGCGCGGTAGCAGCTGTTTATGCGGTTCTCAACGACGGACATAGGAGCATTTCCCGGCTGTCTGCGCTGTCCACAGCGACGCACGCAGACCGATGCCTCTCGGCAAGACCAAGGAACGGTCCACGGAGAGGTGGAACAACTGGCGGCGGGGTTGGTTCTTTAGCTGGCTACACGACGCGGGTCACACCACCGCACGTCGGAGTGAATGTAGTTACACAGGACTCCGAATTCTTAACAATGAATGCAACCAAAGACTGTAAGTATGAACTGTGCCAACAACTTCAACCATAAGTACAAGCTGACCTGTTAACCAAAAAACTCATCTGCAACCAGTGTTGGGCTCGACGTCAAGCAACCAAAACAGCCGCGGAATGAAACTCGAGCGGCAACTCATCCACCAGCAACACTTGCAGTCACATTTACAGTGCGGAAACCATCCAGGAGTTGCAAAACGCAATGGAATTCCATCAACAGCACGTCCACAAGAAACAGGTGAAAGCTCTAGTTACAAGGAAGGAAGGACGATTCGAGCATGATCCGAGAATGATCCGAGCATGACGCGAGGACGTTCCGCAACCGTCGTTCCGCAGAGCTTGACTTGCCAGGTTCGGAGCCACCCTTTGTATTGAAAAACACAGCACTTCGTGCGTCCGCTATCTCTCGAAAACGCACTTTGTACGAGACTTCCTTCCAAAGTGCACGTTGAACTGCAAAACGAAGCCATTCTGCGAGACTTCCTTCCAAAATGCATGTTTAAGAGCTGACTGGAACTAGAGCTAACTAGAGCTAGAGC